ACCTTCAGCTCGCTTCAATGCATTCTCTGGTTTGGAAAAAGTCGCCATCTTTCAATCCAATTGCCAGAATCCACAGAATTGCCTGCAACACAGGGCAATCCATTAATTCCAATCTCCAATTCAAATATAAAAAAAAAAAAAAATCTGCAATCACCAACGAAGAACAAAAAATAGATTACAGGGAAAACTCAAACACTGTACCAGAGAACAACGTACCTGAGACTGAGAGCAAGCGGCGACCAAAGTTGTTGTTTTCTCCAGCGTTCTAACGAGGAAAACCCTAGCTGTGTGCTACTGGGGGCGGGAACACCAGAGTAACGACTGTAACCATGTTTCAGAGGATCCTGTGTTATATACAACTGGGCCTTTTTCTGTTCAGCCCAAATTGGGACTTTTTATTTTATTTTATAGAGTTTAGGTAAATTTATTTATTTACCTTTTACCTCATATCATAACTATATAACAAGGATCGCACGTGACTTTCTTTACCTAGGGATTTTATCACCTTTAATAACAACCCTAGCCCTTTGGACTGTATTTGATTTCCTTTATCCTTAATTTGTAATCTGTTTAACAAAAAAAGTTATATAAGAAGGATTTTTTTCTTTTTAAATCTCTCTATACTCATTTTTAAAATTAAGTTTGAGATTTTTAATATAAAAATTTTAATTTTTAATTATTAAAATATCTTTTTTTAAAATACACTCTTTTATTCTTACATAAAAAAATTAAGTTATCGGTGAAAATCAATGTCTTAACCAACTAAATCCAAATATTAATACTTGAAAATAAACCATTAGGTTGAAGGCCTGATTTATAAAAAAATTCAAGTATTTAAAAATATGTATATTTGAACATCTAATTTTAATACCAAATCAAAGATAAGTTGGTCTCTTTTATTTAAGAGTTGCTTTTCTGTTTATTATCTCTTTCTCAAACATCAAACATAAATCACAAAAGGAAAATGCTAGGGGGACCAACCCTCTACGTGCCGACCAAAGGCTGATGTTGACGTGGAATATGTCACGTTCAATATATTTCTTTTTTTTGGGATAAATTTGTTATTTTGTCTTTACTTTTAGCAATTTAAGTTTATTTTAGTCTCTTTATTTTTTTAAGTTAAATTAATTGAAACTGATCTTGATAGGGTAAATTTTTTAAGGTTTTATATGTAAGGTATTTTAGGATGTAGTATTTAAGTTAAATTAATTGAAACTAATCTTAATAGGGTAAAATTTTTAAGGTTTTATATGTAGGGTATTTTAGGATGTAGTATTTAAGGTATTTGGATTTAAATTCTTTGAGTTCTATATTTTATGATACAAAAATTTAGATTTTTAATTTTTATATTTTATAATATTTGAGTTTTAATTTTTTTAATTTAATTTTAATGTGTTAGGGTTTAAATTTTTTAAGGTTAAGATTTAAGATTT